AACACACATATAGGGGCGAATTGCAGTTATTTGTACTTTAACACACATATAGGGGCATATTGCAGTTATTTGTACTTTAACATACGTATAGGAACATATTGCGGTTATTTGTACTTTAACACACATATAGGGGCGTACTGCAGTTATTTGTACTTTAACACACATATAGGGGCATATTGCAGTTATTTGTACTTTAACACACATATAGGGGCGTATTGCAGTTATTTGTACTTTAACACACATATAGGGGCATATTGCAGTTATTTGTACTTTAACATACGTATAGGAACATATTGCGGTTATTTGTACTAGAATAATGATGATCCAGTCTGTTTGATACCCTTGGAACTAACTCTTTCAGTCATGCTCACTCTGATGCGTTACTGACTGATACCACAATTTTCAATGTAACGAACTTCTGAGAAGGTTAGCAATGTCAATCTTAGACTAAATATCTGGACACATTTTTCACAGTTTTTTCGTCCATTTTTCTCATAATAACAATTATTAATTTTGAGGTGTGACTAGAAGTTTTGAAATTTTGGTTTGTTTATTATCTTCTCAGCTTCACTGCGAAGAGTTTTGGTGTAGAAGGGTTCTATTTTTTTAACTACTGTTTGCACTTTGTTGATAGTTTTATGACATGTTACTGTTTTAAACATCTGATGTGTAAATTTCTTCTTTACTTCCATGAAGAATATTGAAGACGCTTTTCGTTGAAATGTTTTGTCTTTTAGATCACATAACAGTCTAGCTATAAGACAAGGTCACGATTTCGCAGTCATAACTCAACACCTTGGTAGCATTGCACTGTCGAGTGATTGGGAATTTACTCATCCGTGATACTGTAGCTCCATCTGCTGCTGTGATATGCAACTGCATCAGCAAATACAAATCGTTATATAAAGTGCAATTATCTTTCTTTAATGACTCCACAGTGGCACAGCGGTATGTCTGTGGACTTACAACGCTAGAATCCGGGTTTCGATACCCATGGTGAGCAGAGCACAGATAGCCCATTGTGTAGCCTTGTGCATAACTTCAATCAAACTTTTTTAAATATTTACAGGGCAGTTTCTGGCTCAGCGGCATGTTTCCAATGGCAAATAGTATCAGTCAAGTTACCCTATAATAATTGCTTTAATAATGATAAACATCGTCATTGAGATATACAAAACTAAGTAATGACAGTACACAATCTAACATGAACGTCTTGCATTGTTACAACGAAAAATATATGAAAGATGATTAACATCCTACAACTTAGTAAATGTTCTTTGCTTTAAAATAAAGTCATAGTGGGCTACCTGTTGTGTCCCTGGCGGGAAATCAAACCCCGGAGTTTAGCGTTGTTAATCAGTGAGTTTACTCCTGTACCACCGGGGACTAAAGTACAGTAAACTTACTGTTAATACTCTATTTACCGTCTTCATGTTCCAGCAGCTCCAGTTACAAGAATTTCAAATATTAAGCTGGCATTGTCTTCATAAAGCAAATGGTGGTATAAGCTGTCAGCAAAACCACGAATTATTCAGGAATTAACACAACTGGTCTTATATACAATACGCATATATACTTATCTTGATTGTGAACAATTATCTTGGCTAGTAAACACAAAGCTACACAATGGGCTATCTGTGCTCTGTTCACCACTGGTATCGAAACCCGGTTTCTAGATTTGTAAGTCCGCAGACATACTGCTGTGCTACTGGAGAGTAAGTACGTTAACAGAAAATGAAAAAGTCTCAAATACAAAGTCTTGATTATGTTTATTATCCGTATAACAAAGCCTCTGCTTCTCTCCTCGACGATTAACTCTGAAACTAAGGGTATTCTACGGAGATTACATGCAATAAGTAAAAATCAAATATATCATTACTTATTATTATATCAAATGTAATGCAGCCTTCTCTACAGTGTCACTAATATATATTAATCCACACACACAGTCAACAATCATTGCAACAAACGGTAATCTACCAGAAGGCTACATTACATTTGATACAATAATAAGTAATGATATATTTGATTTTTACTTATTGCATGTAATCTCCCTACATTGTCACTAATATATATCAATCCACACACACAGTCACCAATCATTGGAACAAACGGTAATCTACCGATTACCCTTTGTTCAAATGCTTATTGATAGTGTATATATGCAGATTAGCGTATCGTAGTGCCACTATCCGGGGATTATATGTTCTAATTAACAATTATAATATGTTGTTGTTTTTGCGTCAGATATAATGCAGCCTTCTTACTAGAAGATTACATTACACATGCTGTAAAAAACAAGTTTTAATACATTTGATTTTTACTTAGAACACGTGAACTCCGTATGTGGCATTATCACAGAGCGCTCTAGCACTCCCTATTTGGGGATGGCCCGTATTGAAGCAATACAAAAGTTATCTGGACTTTCTTTTCTCAGATGCTAGATATGAAGAGCTACCTGGCATAGTCGCTCTATCTCCTGTGTATATGCTGCATTTCAGCTATCCAGAGCGTCCCAAAGTCGAAAACCGGCGAATAGCCGGAACCGAAATTTCTGATTTTCGTTCATCACCATATTTCTTCAACAGGCCTAGCGCCTATCTAGTTCTAGCAGTAACTACAATTTTATAACCACTTCATAGAGAAAAACAGCCTTCACGATCTTTGACTACTTATTTTATTATTATTATATGCAAAATATATAAGAGTTTAGAATACACTCTATAACCTAGTAACCCACGTACGCTATCTTATAAAAAAGTTATCAAACAAGTATAAGGAAAAAAATAATTATCGCTAAATAAAAAAGCTATGTAGAGCTAGCTACTGAACTTGAAAAAGGAACCAAACAAGATAGGGTGGAAGTGGACATATCACTTGATCGGCTAATGATTACATAGCAGAATAGTATGACATTTTAAGATCGGAAATTCTGGTTATATTTGTTTTGCCAATGAGGAAGCCAGTAATGTGAGATGTCACTACAATGTAAAATAGTCATAAAAGTAGTATTTTAAAGTTAACTAAAGAAAAGGTATAATGTTGAAAGCTGAGATTCTATTCAAACACCAAGCTTTCGATAGACAAAGTGGGGAAAACAGGAATATCGAAATTTTATTTACGTAAAATCGAGACAGCTTAGTCTGTTATGTGATCATTAGTCGATCAAGTGGTATGTCCACTTCCATCGCTATCTTGTTTGGTTCCTTTTTCAAGTTCAGTAGCTAGCCCTAAATAGCTTTTTCATTTAGCGATATTTTTTTCACTTATACCTGTTGTATATTAATCCACATGTATACACTCTCAATAGGCATTGAAACAAAGGGTAATTTACAGGAAAGCTGTGTTACACTTGATATAAAAACAAGTTTTAATACACTTGATTTTTACTTAGAACACGTGATCCACATATAGTGTAGCTATCTTATATTATTCCATAAACATTCTCAACTAAATTAAAGTGAAAAGGAAATTGATAAATTAACAATACACAGTTTCCAAGCAAAATTTCAAACATCACAATTTCAGCAAATTTTAGAAGTGTTACTTAACTTACCAAGTCCAGGAATCCCAACATTGAGCAGACACAGAAAAATTGACAAAGGTAGAGGCATTAACGGAACAGCTTTTCGAAAGTTGCTGTGTTTTTCCCGGATACTGACGATTTCGTACTTTCCACTTCGTTTTTCCTTCTCTTTTCCAGTTGCAGTTTGTTCTTCGTTTTCTCCAGTGGAACTTTTTGTACAGCTGGCTTGATCTTGATCACTTCGAAACCTGTGTGTTCTTTTATTCGCCGTCCCTTGAAGATTTTTGGACTTTTCAGCTGCAGAATCATCAGCTTCCTTTCCTTTTTTGTCTTTATTCTGTTCTGGTTTATTTCCAGTTTCCTGCTCAGCTTTCTTTTCACCTTTCTCTTCGGGTATATCTTCATTTTCCTGTTCAGTTTTTTGATGAGATTTTTCTTCAGTAACGCTTTGTTCATTTTTAATTTTAGTTGACTCTGGTTCAGTTTTTTTGGCGGATTCTCCATCTTTGACGTGCACTGTCGAATTCCCGCTCTCCGAGCTAGCAACTTCCTCGGCTCCCTCTGCCGTCGGTTCACCGTCACTCTTTGATTCCTGCATCTTCCCTGTTCCTGGCATGAAGCCGAGCTTTGATCAGAAAAGTCTGTCTCTCACTCACCGCTTGAGCATTTGTCGAATATACGTCATTTAGCTAACCCGCATGCAGCGCGCGCGATCATGTAGACACTTGGGTATATAAACCACGCCCTTACATCGAGTAGCTTTTTTATTTCATTAAATTCCGAGTAAGTAGGAATTATTAACTTGTAAGTGTTTGGCAGTTTCTACGGAAAAGGTTTTTAATGTTGGATACAAGAGATTAAGCTATACTGTATTAATTTTAGAGTGATAATACCAAGTTTCAGTTGCAGAACAGCGCAAGCGTCAGGAGCTCTAGCGGCGCCTTTTCGTACCTCACGGTGATGCTCTCTATGAAAACAAACACCTCAGTCATTTCAACTGCATCCTCGATTTCTGACTTCCATATATTTAATGCTGTTGTGCACTTAGGCTATTTTTGGATCGGATGAAAACGAAGCTAAGTCAGAGGGCTTGAAATCAAAAGAGTCGTACCTTATTTTTTCAACACAATATGAGAACTTGAAATCAAAAAGTCATACATTATTTTGTAAACACAATATGAGGACTTGAAATCTTACAACGAAGACATTGTGCCTTGTTTTGTGTTATATAATTTGAGAGAATCATGTTAGATTTTATTTAAACAATCATAAAGTATTTATTTTTAATTATATTTCTATTTTTAAAGAATTCTCACATCCACCTGTAAAAATATGAAATTACAACATATGAATTGAAAGACAACAGTGCTTAAATACTTTAGGTATTTTACTACAACATAACATAACTCTTCAATATATTAAGCCTAATCTCCTCTCATTTGTGAATAATTAAAATGTATAGATTATTATCAAATTTAGTTATCTATTACTTTCACATTTATTATATGATTAATTAGATTTCAAACGTTTCACTAGAGTTTTCACCGGGACTAAGATCCTATTTCAAGGCTAGACCTATTGATGGGAACTGTGTTATCGAAACTAGTCGGCTGTAACAAATAATATAGATTTTACTTTTCACTGTGTCTAAAAAAAAAACATCGGTTTTTGTGTTTTTTACTCTTTCCATTTGTTCTGTACTGATTGAAACTTCTAGACATTAATAGTTTTCTACAATATCAAACATTTTTCAGAAGTTTCGGGTGTTATCCCTAGTTATAAAAACGTTACTACAGTAGCTAATTAAAGTTGCTTCATATGAAATTATTGGATCGAATCTGTTATAATACTATAGGATCGCCAGTGCATTAAGCTATCCAAATACATTGTGGGTATCGTCGTATTTAAAGCTAGATATTAATGCACAATGCTAGAATATAGGCGAACCTGATATCTAACATTTTACTGTGGTATTTCATGTTTTCACGCTATATATTTTCTCGCTACGGATTTGAACCCTAGATCTCTCGCACACCAGGCGAGCCCTCTTCAAATGATCTAAAGGAATAGTCCCTTAATGCTTGCTACTAAGACACTTTGTAACAACTTCAATTACTACAGTACTATCAAAGAAGCACTAATTTTTTGTACGTTAATAATATGTAAATTTTTAGATGAAATTGTGGATAATTTCGATTACTGTGTTTAAAAAAAGGAAAGAAATTTGATGTTATTCTTTCAAAATACCTGAATGTTTTCTTACAAGATGTGTACACTCTTATACTGTCACTAATATAAAAACTGAGAATCACATGGCACGGATAGCCTATCGTGTACACATCTTGTCCCGTAGTGTGCACACTCTTATACTGTCACTAATATAAAAACTGAGAATCACATGCGATAGGCTATCCGTGCCGTGCACACTACGGGTATGGAAACCCGTGTTCCAGCGTTATAAGTCCGCAGACTTTCCGCTGTGCCACTAGGGGCCAAACATGTATGATCTAAAGTAACATTTACCTACAATATTAAGTTGATTCCGTTGCTGAAGGAAACCTGTCACAACGCTTATTAACAAATCGATTTTTTTCGGCGCAGGTGTTTCTTAGTCTGTTAAACACTGGACCATGAAACGAGTTAAAATATTTGTATATACGAAACTTGTGGATTAGTTGTTAGTCTTGCCCTTTGTTTTTCCAACAGGATTAAAACTATTTTGATAAAAGATAACATATAAGTGAAAAATACTAATAAGAAATGCAACCTTCTAGTTTCACTAAAGAGCCCAAGACTTACAACGAAAACCAATATTGTTTCATGCATGAGATGGTATATATATATACATATTATACATACATACATATACATTTTATACTTGAAGTAGCAGTTTATAACATTTTCACACAGCGTATATGAACTCAGTCTGATCAATACGGACACGTGAACATTTCAGTTTATACCCTATCGAGATAACGTACTTGATTACTACAGTTTGTACATTCAATTGTATTTTATGGATGCGATCTGATAATTATAGCTTATAAGCTTAAATGATTTGGCCAGAGTCGTATATGAATCATACATAGGTTATGTAGTTGGTTTGATTAATAAACAGGAGAGTACAGCTCAAGAGTTAGCTCGTTATGTTGTCGGGCGGCCGAATGTGGTACCGTGGTAAGCGTGGTGGATTGTGGATCTGAGTTTCAGTGCTTCGTGCCCCAATAACCCCCCCCCCCAAAAAAAACAAAACAACAACATAAAAACTTAGTTCCACACATCGGTGCCGTGTGTGTGTGTGTGCCTTGTAAGGAAATTAACGGAAGTTCTGCGCATGTAAGCACATCAGCGGTGTGCAAGAATAAAACTTGATCCGAAGTGTGTTAATAAAAGACCCGGCATAGCCACTTGGTTAGGGCGCTCGAATCGTTATAAAGTGACGATCAATCCCACTATTCGTTGGTAAAAGAGTAGCCCAAGGTTTGGCGGTGGGTGGTGATGACTACCTGCTTTCCCTCTAGTCTTACACTGCTAAATTAGGGACGGCTAGCACAGGTAGCCCTCATGTAGCTTTGCGAGAAATCTATATCAAACGAATAAATGCTAATAAATGATTTGTTGACACAAAGCAGAGTGGAAATATTATCTCTAAATAATGATTGATATATTGTTAAATAAATAACACAAGTAATATTGTTTGTGAAAAGTGTTTATCTATGCACTTCGTTCATAAAAATTAAGTTGAACGTAGTATTGATCCATATTAAGCTATATTTCACTGATTGATTCGCGCAATTATTCACAGAATATTGTTAGAGAAGCACGCATGCGCCATTCGTGACGTAACTAATTTATATTTTCTATTGATTCCAGAATTAATTTCACTTGTTATCAACAGGAGCTGATATATCTGGTTATTAAAACGTCCAACTTGTCTCTACAATAAATTATTTCGTTAATTTAGCTTCGTTCTAATTTTTCGTTGTTGACTTTCCCAAAGACGTTATCTTTAAATGTAAATTAAGACATTATTTAACAGTCACACAATCACCACGCTAGCTATCTGTGTGTGTGTATATATATATATACTTTTTTCTGAAATTATTTACATTTTCGAGTGCATCGCTGAGCAGGGATTGTGATTATTTTATGTAGTGGATATGTTTATAGATTATTATAACATATAAGAAGATAATTAAAAATCCCGTTGTTAGGTGGCGCTGTCATTGTCATACCTTGATTAATAGTTTACTTAAAATGTGTTATGGAGCAAAGCATATATCATATACTTTTGTTCGGCCCGATAGTCGATTTTACCTGAATATATAAACTATATCATTTAGGTCTTTTATTTTCAAAAAATAAGTTTTCATCACGAATAGATGACGGAGTCGTATATTATTTTAAATGAACAGAAAAAAAAACTGCATTAAACAAATAACTTAAAATTCAGGTATATAACAATCAAATAATGAAGAAAATATAAATACAAAATACAGTTTAATTTCCAACGCCCCCAGTGGCACAGCGGTATGTCTGCGGACTTATAACGCTAAAAATCGGGTTTCGATACCCGTGGTGGGCAGAGCACAGATAACCCTTTGTGCTTAACTATAAACAAATTTCAAATACAATTTGGCGCGTAACGTTAACGTTCTTTTTGAACTCAAAATGAGTTTCTTACGAAACTAACTTCTACTTTAATGTGAAATATGTGTTGTAGATTTTGAAATTTTTCGTTTTGTCATAAATGTTTTTTGAACATCCAACATTTCAATCTATTTTTTCTCTCTCCCTCTCTCTACACGTTTATATCTATATTTCATAATTAGTAGACTTAAAATAAGACCCAAAACTCGAGTTTGGGGTCTTATATTACTTCTGTTACACTTTATATGTGATCTTTTGTGCTAACTCTTTTACCAAAATTTCATAATTAGTAAGTATTGTTTGCAGTAAATAAATAAATGAAAGAAGAGAGCCAACGGTGATCAGAATCATTTGCTTGCGTCTCAAACGAAGATTAAAAGAATCTCTTACTTCTTGAATAATTTAATAAAACATTTCGAAATAGCATTTAATTGGACGAAACTCTCATTACAGATGCAAATATTAGACAATTAATGAAGTAAAGTTTTTGATTATTTTCAT